TGATGGCAATCTCTAGCTAATAAGATGCCAGGTGACACAAACAGTGAATCATGGAACACTCCATCAAAAACTAATGATGTATGGTGATTAACATAACAATAGAAAAATTAAAAAAAAAAAGATGCCAGGTGATTTTCACTTCCCACTTACACTCTGGGTATTGTTTGAAATTCTTATAAGGACCATACATCATCTATATGTAATCAGAAAAAAAAGGTAAAGATATTTTCGTTTTGAAAAAAAAAATTAACCATATCTGCAGGACCTCCTTGTACCTTTTCTGCAAATTCCTATGAATCTATAATTAGTACAAAATGAAAAGTTTTCAAAATTGACCTACTGTGTATTCTGATTTTAAAAAGATGGAAAGATAGTAACTGGACCCGTAGATCAGGGTTTAAAAAAAAAAAAAAAAAAGCCTTTTGGTTTCTACTAATGGTCAACAAATATTTATTCCAGTCTCTCTTTGGTTAAAATGCAAAAAAAAAAAAAAATTCAAATATAAAGTCATGCTCTTAGAAATATGGCATTTTAATCTTTTCTTTTTCAGGGCACAGGGCAAAGAAGGGGCAGAGAGTAGAGCTCTCTGGATCTCCGACAAAATGCCTCAGTACCACTGAGCACAGGGGATGCGCCCCCCCCACCCCCACCCAGCACTTCCCAGGCACCACCTGCATCAAGCCAAACCCTCACTGAGGGCACACAGGTCCCAAGGCACCCGTGGCAGGCACAGAGCAGCCTTCTAAACTACAGAACCATTTTTCTCTTACAAATCTCTGCCCTGAGCTGAACACCCCCTCCATTTATTTTCCACAGAGACCTCACAGAAGAAAAATCACGCCTACACCTTTCTTTTAAAATACATACATTATAGAGAAAAATATTATATGTACTAAACAAGAAAGAATAATTCTGCAAGGGAGTAAGTGGTCACCTCCCCCAAGGCCTCTGCACCAGCTTCAGGCTCCTGGTGAGACGTGTGTCCCGCAGCTCCAGTCACACGCACTAAAATCAGCTGCTCTGCGACATGAGCAGAGGTAGCTGGGCTGCTGGTAAAGGCAGGACTGGCAGGACTGGCAAGCTTACAGGCAAGAGGGGACAGGGCAGGCACAGCATGGCAGCTGGGCTGGCCCCTGCAACCGGCGCAATGGCTTCATCAAGGGGAGGGGGCGCAAGAGATCTAGAAAGCCCTCAGAGACTACAGAGCACAGAATTCAATCCCGGCGCCCTAACTGCCCCAAAGCTGTCAAGCTAACTGACAGGACTGGGTCAAGAGTGATGGTGACACAGAGACAGCTGCTGGAGCCCCTCAGTGACACGTATCTTCCAGCGCTGGCTGGCAACACCAAGCTCAACAATGATCTTTCCGATCTGACCCACTGCATCTAGATGCTTCAAGCTTTGTCTGTCTTCAGTGCTGTTTTCTCCTCTATTCCTGGCTTAGAAAGTCCTAAATAATTGCTGTGTTCCTCTCTCCAGTGCCAGCCCTTGAATTCCAGTTCCCAGGCCCAGTTCTGGTCCCCAAACACGCCGTGCCCTCCCAGAGCCCTGCACCCGCTGTCCCGTTAGGTGCCACTCCATCGTTTCCCCAGTGGCGCCTCCATAATAGCACTCACCGAGCCAAGAGGCTGCCACTCATCTCATCCCAGCACTGCCTTAGGAGGGTCACTGCTGCCCCATCCCCTCTTCTGCAGAGAAACTGGCTCAGAAACCACAGGCCATGGGGCACCGGGAGCTGCAGGGTTAACATTCTCCGGGCAGCCAAGAGCTTGGCCCAGCTGCTCTGTTACAAGCAAGGGAGAACCCTCCTCCCGGTGCCGCCACTTTGTCAGAGCTTACAGGTGAAGCCCTGACCAGTCAGAGTCACTTGGAGGAGGGGCAACAAACCAGAGGGACCATAGTGGTTTGGGGGTGCCTGGGCTCACCTCTTACTTTTCTTACATCCCCTCAGAGGCACCAACCTGTAGCGTAAGCTCTGGCCCTTGCCCCATACAAACCTCCGGGCAGGGAAGTGGACATCTCTGGGAAAAGGAAATCTCAAACCCAAGTCGACACGGGACGTGTACGACCGCATCAGACGGAATGTCTACACCATGAAGCAGGATTATGGGGACAGACCAATTTTAATTAGCATAATAGAGATCCTCTAAGGTATAAAAGAAGAAATTGTAATACAAATCATGGAGAAATATTACGAAGAAAAATACAGAAGTTGAACACAAGAGATAAGCAGCACAGTGGACATAAGAGAACAGAGAGACGGGATGGAATGTCAGGAAGACGAATCCACCTAGAAGGAATACATTCAGAGATAGAGAAAATAAAAGCAGAGATTTCAGCGTCCAGATAATAGCGGACAAGAAGGAAGAAGGCTAAAACAAATAAAAAAGAAAAGGAAGTATTTGGAGAAAATTAATAATTCCTCAGAACTAAAAAAAAGATTCAAGACTTCATACCACAAGAGTTTAGAAAGGACCAAACAAGATAAATAAAGACCCACACCAAGGCACATCATAGTGAAATTTAAGTATACTGAAATTAAATGCAAATTCTAAAAGCTTCCAGAAAGAAAGAGAGAGCAAAAGATCTGGCTAACATCAAATTTTTCTGCATCTGCAATAACGATGCAGAAAGGCAAGGCAGTGATATTCTTAAGGCCCTGAAGGGGGGCGCCTGGGTGGTTCAGTCCTTAAGCGTCTGCCTTCGGCTCAGGTCATGGTCCCAGGGTCCTGGGATCGAGCCCCGCATCGGGCTCCCTGCTCGGCGGGAAGCCTGCTTCTCCCTCTCCCACTCCCCCTGCTTGTGTTCCTGTTCTCGCTGTGTCTCTCTGTCAAATAAATAAACAAAATCTTAAAAAAAAAAAAAAAGGCACTGAAGGAAAAGAACTTTGAACGCAGACATTTCAAATGTGAGCGCAAAATAAAAACGTCATCAGGCGTGCAAAGCCACTGGAGGTTTGCTGCATAAAGGCTCAATCTGAAAGTATGCAACAAGAAAGTGCTCAAATACAAGGATAAATAATCCCGGAGGAGAAGACACATGGGACATAAGGCTGGTCAAAAACTTAGTAAGCTTTGTTGCCTAAAAAAGAACCAGGAAAAAAAAGGAAAGGATTTCCAAAATTCCAGAATTAAAAACATTAGATGACAACAACACACTTGGGATCAGGGCTGGGAAAAAAGAGACCCAAGGTTCACATGAACCTGTAAGATCCTTGTATTATCAGAGGACCAAGATGGCATTTGAGAAATGTTAATAGGGAAAAATAAACGCCAATGTGGATCTTAAGAGCAACCGCTATAACAACAAAAACAGAATTTGTTTTAAATGGTAAGAAAGTTTCTTTTTATCTATCCATTACAAAGCAGGAAATGAGAAAAAAAAATTAAAAACCAATATAATAAGGAGAAAAAAATATTAAATAAGGTGTTAGAAAAAATAAATAAATAAATAAAGATGTTAGAGATAACTCATAGTTAAACAATAATCACAAGCGTGAATGAAAAAAACGCAGTCCAATTAAGGACTCTTAGATTGGCTACAAGTAATACATTGCCTGTGAGAGACAGGTACACACAAAGGAAAGACAAAGAGGATGGAGAAAGGTATCCCAAGCAAATATGAACCAAAAGAGAGCTGGAGAATCAATCTCAATATCTGACAACATAAAATTCAAGAAATAAAAAAAAGCAGGGGACACAGCCATGTGCTATATATACTGGGAGAAGAAACAAAAGAGTACAAATGTGACCTTTCACATTATATCTACCTAACCATATGATCTCTTACATAAAGCAAGAACTGAGGGCGCCTGGGTGACTCAGTCGTTAAGCGTCTGCCTTCGACTCAGGTCATGGTCCCAGGTCCTGGGATCGAGCCCCGTGTCGGGCTCCCTGCTCCGCGGGAAACCTGCTTCTCCCTCTCCCACTCCCCCTGCTTGTGTTCCCTCTCTCGCTGTGTCTCTCTGTCAAATAAATAAAATCTTTAAAAAAAAAAAAATAAAGTAAGAACTGAGAGGATGGCAGGAAGAAAAGATAAATCAACAAATACCCGTGGATATTTAAATCTACTCCTTTCAGAAACTGCTAGAACACGCAAACAAAAAATAAGCAGAAATACACAAGAGCTAAATAATCCACTAAACACATGTTCAAGCAAGTAAATCTAGAGAGCTCTTCACCCAAACGGAGAATATGGAATGATTTTCAACATCATAAAAACTAGCCACACTCTAGGCTAAAGCCTCAGTAAATTTCAAGGACTCAATATCACAGAGACTGTCTGCTCTGATCACAAAATTAAAAAACAATTAACAAAAATCAAAGCTTTACCAACTTGTATACATAGCTAGATATCAGGTGAAAAAGAAAAAGGGAAAAAATTTTTTAAAAATACATAGACCTGAATAACAATGAAAACACAACCTGCCAAATTTGTGAGACACAGCTCACAGAAGAATGGATACTGTTAAATACATTCCTCTGTTCATTCTTGAATGCAGAAATGAACGAATGTTTCCCTGAAAGCCACCCAAGCAGAACATGGAGCACTGTGGAAAAGCTCTCACAAAATCTACAACTAGCTCCCTGGTGGCCTGCCAGGTGCTCTGCCCCCTAGGATTCATGAGAGACAAAAGATAATGCTATCAAACAGAAATCTCAAGGAAAAAACCACAGGGAGCAATGGTACCCCACCTTTATTAATAGCTGCCCAGGAGGTCTATCCAAGCTTAAACAAGGCCTAATCTATGTCAGGAAAAAAAATACCATGACCCTGAAACTTACAGAAGTCCATACCCTTTGGATCCCCCATTAAACTGGATGTAAAAACCAACAGACCCTAGAATCCAGGCTCTCCTAAGTATGTGCTAAGGACCAGGCACTGCTAATTTCATACCCACTCCTCGGCCACCAAGAACAAGCCCTTCCCACCGTGTGAGATGAGGAACTCCCCCTCTGATGTTACTGTCATGAGAATAAGGCATGTTTGTACACAAGTACCTGGTAGGGTAAGTCAGCCATCCTTAAGTAAGTTTCCATTTTCAAACAGAAAGGAGACAAACTGGGGACACCATTGTTAGGTCTTGCAAACTGATGCAAAATAATAGCATCTTTGGAGTCAATCTCTTGCTGTTTCCTGCCAAAACCAAAACAGAAATAAAGAACAATCCACGTGTTACACATTCAATTCCCTGAGTTCCCCGGAGGTCCCTGGTGGGTTGTAGCTCCTCCATGAACAAGCAGATCTGTTTGTCACGGGGGCTCACCTCACCCAGGAGCAGAGTGGAGGCTTAGCCCAAACATGAGAGAAACTTACAAATGATCACGGTGACCCCAAGGGCTTAGAGAGTAGCTATGTCGGCTAACTATAGCCCATGGGGGCAGGAAGAATACTTTGTAATACAGGCCCACCCCTTCTCCAGCAGGCAATGCTTAGTGGCCAGGCACAAGCTGAAGGGCTAAAAATGACAGTGTGTGCTTCCTGGGTGTTGGGCATTGTTCTAAGGGCATCATAGGTATTATTTCATTTAATCTTCACAGTAACTTTATGAGGGAGCTACTACTCTTATCCATGGGTGATAGATGAGGAAACTGAGACAGAGATTGCCTTGCCCAAGGTCACCTTTCTAATAAATGGCATACCCTGGACCAAACCAGGCAAGCGAGTCTACGTTCTTGACACCTGGACTGTAACATGAAACTGTCCCTAGAACCCAGGAATAACAGCACAGGCTTACTCTGCTAGGAACCAAGTCTGCAGGGAATCTGAGACCCTTCCAAACTATGTGTGCCCTCACCTGGCCTTTCATCCGTGTGATGCCAAGGAAGCTGGTTTCTGGGCTCTCTTTCATCTTCTCTAGCTTCCCAGGGTCCCTGCTCTAGACACACAGCATGTAACTTAATACCCCTGCTTCTTCTCTTTCTTCTGTCTCAGCCACATGTCTAGCTTTCCCTTGGCTACTTTTTTGGGTGGGAGGATTTCCCTGGTACAGCTTTTCAATGGTCACCGTATAATAGAGAAAATGCTAGATTCCAAGTGTGGACACCTGGGGTCACATCCAAGCCCTGCTTCCTACCGGCCACGTTACCCTAGGCCTCTCTTCCTCCCACCCACAGAAAGTGAGGGCAGTACCAATTCGGCATCAATTAGCATGAGGATTAAATTTTAAAAATCAGTAAGTATTTGTGGAGCTATCAAGCAGCGTGTAAGAATGGTAGAAATCTATTCTCATTCACAGAGATACGGTCTTATCCCCTTAAACTACACTATCTCATCATCCCCCACAGCGTCACTCCTACTACACCACCCTCAGGAACCATTTGCAATTCCCCGTTTTCGCTCGGCCCAACCACTTCCCAGTCAGATAGACCTCACTCTTCCCCTGGGCCTTCCCTGAGCCTCTGGTTCCCTCACATTACTCCCAGTTTAACCTACTTCCACCCAAGCAAGGGCAAGCTCTTTGTATCATCAGCCCATGGAGCTCACCTCCTGCGGCATCTGCATTCAGTAAAACCAACTCTTTCGGAGAAGTTTACCACCAGAGTGCCCATTCCACTTAAAGAGTTCAGAATGAGTCACTTGGAAAACACCGCTCAAGTCAAAAGAACAAAAATATTTGCTGTTTTCCGGCAATATTTGCTATATAAAACAAAGACTTTCATTTAGATGAAATGTTGGGGAGGTCAGATATTAAAATTAAGAAGCGTCTTAGACTGTTCCCAGAGAGCACAAACTAGATTTGACAATTAACTGATTTTGTCCAGTCCAATAAATCAAGTCACAGAGTGGTATTTTCATGTAAAGCAGCCAAGCAAAAATTTAAGAACTGGAAAGAGAGGAGATAAATGTAAAATCTTCTGCTCCGCTGGCCAGAAATATCTAATTCTAATGGTTAACTTGGGCCATATCATATTAAGAATGGATGTGACAAGCATATGCCAGTGACTTCGTATACATGATGCATATTAATTTATTTCATTCTGAAGTAACACCATAGTGTGGATATTGTTATAGTTTGAATTCAGTGTATTATACTATACAGTAGATAAGGAAACTGAAGCTCAGAGAGATTAAATAACTTGTCCAAGGAGTATCACTGTAAGATCAGGTCATTATTAGCTCCAGATCCCAAGCCCTTAAGCCCCTTCAACACCCTGAAATGGGCAATTTCTCAGTTAATTCTGTCAAAACAGCCAGTTTGACTCAGGCCACTCAAGCCTGGAACTTTCCAAAGGAAGTTTTGATAGCCAATGATGGCCAACTTTTATCAAATGCTCACTTCCGTGTCAAATTGTTCTAAGCAATTCACACGTGCTAACTCAATCAACTCCATAAGGCAGGCTACTATGATTACCCCCATTTTACAGATGAGAAAACCAAGTAGCCAAGAAGCTTCTTATCTCCAAGGTTACATGGTTAAAATAAGCAAAATGAATGTGGACCCACTCTGGCTTCAGAGCCCTCCTTCCACACATCAGAAACTACTCTCTAATGTAGAAGAATCAGAGGAGCAGGTATTTTTTAAAATACCTGGACAGCTGTACTTTCTAAAGTGACTATATAATGAGGGTTATATAAGAGAACACGTACACAACAGCAAGACTAGCCCTTACTCCCATCATGACGGATATCACGGATGACTATGCCTCTGTGTGCGGCTGAGCAGCCATTGGTTTATGGAGGTCAGATGTTGGTTGACCTGGGGGCTGCTCTGAGTCCCTAAATTCTCTAGGACAGGCTGAGCCCAAGGGCCCAAAGTGCAAAAGAGCTACCAACAACACAATCATTATTTAGTCATTCAATTTACAAACAACGCATTCTCAAATGGATTGAATTTAAGATAGCTGCTAGGCTGTCACCACTCAGGGTAAAGTAGAGGGTTGAGACAATATTTGGTTAAAAATACTGCCATGGGAAAAGCAGTCATAAAATTCAAAATACCTCCTTTGGTTATACTCCTTAATGAAACTTCCTAAGTAATTCCCACCAGTCAACTTTGCTTTACACGCTAGACACATGGCCACACACTCAGGTTAAGTCTCTCCCGCAGAAAATCCAAGTTGAGTGGTAAAGACTTTACCTTTGTCCGTGACCTCAGACACTGTGATCATTTCAAGGTGTGTTTTCCCTCCTGCAGATTCTGGATTGTTTTGTTTTGCCTAAACTACAGAGACACCTGACACTGAGATTTCGCCCTAAATGGAAGTCTCTGTCATGTCACCTCTGACTTACAGTCCCAGAACTTGCTCAGTCTTTCTCCCCCTGTCTTTCTGTGTCCCTAGAGGCTGTCAAAAACTCAGGTCCCTGCCACAGGCCTGTCTTCCCTGGGCCATGTCCCAATTCTTTACGTTTCTCTTCGTCTCCCTCCAGCCAGGCTTATGTTGTCATTGGTACTTTCTAGGAGGCAGTGGAAAAAAAATGCAGACTCCGCACACACACATTCCCAGGTCTGGATCCTACTACTCTTGCTGTGTGATCTTGGGCAAGTGGTTTAACCTCCCTCCCTCAGTTGTAAATGCCTTCTGTATGAAATGGAAATCAAGCATCCAACCATAGTTGAGAGGGATAAATGCAAGTAAAGCACTTCTATACAGAGTCCCTACTAAGAGATCAAAAGTGGGCAGCCATTTTTATTATTTGCCTTATAACAGGGTTTTCTACTCCATTATAACATATTTCCTACCCAGGCTTTAGACATCTGTCAAGAAACAAAAGTGAACAAACCAAGGATTAAAAACGTCCCAATCTAAAGAAGTATCCAAGTAGTGTGCTAAGTGGGGAAGGACACATCTGTGGGCAGAGGGCTCTTCTGTGTCCAGAGACCACACCTGCCAGGGCGTGGCCTGTTCCCTGGATGAGCTCTGGGCTCCTTGCTATTTCTGCAAGGTCATTTAAGCAAGGTTTAGACTTGGTCCTATGGTGCCTTCACACCCTCCACAAAGTGTTAAACCGGCAAGAAGCCACATGGTCCTGGATCCTGAAAAGGTTCTGGACTGGAATATAATTGAGAAACAACTGGGTTACCATTTAAAGTACTGCACAAATGTTCTGGTTTTTTCATACAGCTTGAAATCTAACTTGAAATCAAGTTCTAAAACTAGCAAAAATAGGAAATAATCTAGAGAAATTCACTTTAAATTCACTTTAAAAATCTTTATGTGGTTCGACTAGATGATTCAAGCCACCTGCTAAGTGAGAGAATTCAGGGTACCTAATAAGCTTAAAATAAAACTTCTCAATTATGGCTAAATAATAGTGAAAGCCAATACATTTCCTCAGACCTAAATGATTTCCCACCCTCTCGGAGACTAGAAATATTCAAAATACCTAAGTTAGCCTGTCACAATGTCCTGGAATCCCTGCAGGCCTGTTAAAGGTCACCGATCACTGTCTTTGTTTATAAGCTATTGTGTAGGATCCCCTCCTGGAAAAAGGCAGTGTGGAACACATTTGTCACTACTTAAAAAATACTGGCCAACAGGGATATATTGAGCTATTGAGAACTGCCCACTTCTGGTCATCTCCCAGGGACATATGGCTCCAACGCATGGAAATTTTAACCATAAATTGATGTTATCAGTGAGCCAAAGGCCCATCCCAGAAGCCTATGGTATTACCCTACTCAAAGAAAGATCTCATGTCTTCCTGGATGTACCAACAGTAGGGGCCTCCATTTTCTGGCATTTCCAAGTCAGGTCTGTAAACATTCTGCGGCAGGCAGCCTATGCAACTGTTTACGGCACTGGGTGCCTCCCGTGTTCTTGTCAAACACGCCCCTGTGCTCGTCCGGTCCTCGGATCTCTCACTGCTCGCACAACAATGGCACTGAAACCCCACGATGGTGCTTAGCTTGAAATACCTGAGCAGCCGATAACCAGGTTAAGGCTGCATCAAAACTGCACAGCACTCTACTTGGCCATGGCTCTTTAACAGGGACCCAGAGGTCTCTGGAGCTTTTGCAATTTCAGCTTTTTGATGATATTGAAATTTGGGGAGGGATAGTGAAGAACTAACCTTTAAAAGATAAGGTTAGTGGTTAATATTCTGGCATTATTACCTACAAACAAGGCATTTCATGAAAGTGTAACTTAGTATCTCTACCAGGCCTCATTCTATTTTTTTTTTCAGGCCTCATTCTATTGTTGCAAACATTGCACTTAGGATCTTACTAAGGGCATTTCCTAATAGACTCTTGCTCCACAACAACCCGGAGAATTTTTGCTTTTTAGCACCAAAACACTGGGACACAAATGTTTTCCCCTCCCACTACCAGTTTAATTCTCCTGTCAACTCGAAACTGCCCCTCAGGCCAGGTGACCACGGACTGCCTCTAGGGAAAGGTAAGGGCAGGATTCTTGGGCATTTGCACGGCGTGACCGAGAGGCTGGCACGGTCCCCCCTCGCGCCAGCCCTGCCCTGGCCAGGTGCCCCTCTCGGCGCCCCTGCGCGGGGCCCTCTCTCCGGCTCACCTAATGACCAGGAGTTCGTGGAGCAGATACGCAGCTGCGGCCAGCAAAGCTCCCCCGGTCAAGTAAAGTGTTTTCTTCCACCAGGGATCGGAGCCCAGCCCTGCCATGATCCCACCGTAATCCTGCAAAGGGAAAGCGATGATGTCCCCATAAAAGGAGAAGGGCTCCTCGGACCCGGCCCACCAGCCGAAGAAGGAGACGCTCTGGTTCCAGCTCAGATCCACCACGCACGGCCTGGACGAGGCAAAGCCAACCCCCCAGTGCATGCTGCGCGGCTGGCTGCGGGCGCCCCTCCCAGGGCCCGCGCCGCCCGCATGGGAATGGGGCCGGAGCGGCCCGGCGCGGGCTCAGCGGCGCGCTGGGGGCGCGGGCGGCGCGGGCGGCGGCGACCGAGGCGGCGGCGGCGGCAGCGGCGGAGGAGGAGGAGCAGGAAGGGCGCGGGCCGCGGGCGGCGGGCCTGGCCGGCGGGGCCCCAGGACCCGGGGCGGCAGCGGCGGCCGCCGGGTCCCCCCGCAGCGGCCTCTCCGCGCCGCTCTTTGTGTCGGCGCCTGGAGAAGGCCGCGTGATGTCATTGCTCCCCGGGGCAGGGAAACAGAGGCGGGATAAAGTCACCTACCCCGCGCCCTGCCCCCGCCCCGCATCTCCGCGGTCCGGCGGCCTCCGCCCCGGCCGGAGCTGCAGGGCTGGGCGCGCCCGGCGGGCTCCGCGCCTCCAGGCGGCACGGCCGGGAACGGCTCGGCGCGCTAGGGCTAGGGCTGCGGAGGTGCCTGGAAATGCGGCTCCACCGGGAGGAAGCTGCAGTCAGGGCCCGGATCTCCGTCCGCCCCCCCCCACCCCGGCCCCCGAGCCCCGGCCCGCCCTCCGCTGTCGCTGCAGCCCCTCCCGCAGGCCCGAGAGCGCGGAGCGCGCGGGACTCACCTGAGGCCGCGCCGAGGGGCAGGCAGGAAACGCCACCCGGCGGGGGCAGGGAACGAGGGCCCGGATCAAGGTCGGCAATTAGATTGTTCTGGCCATCAGGAAAGCGCTGTGTATTTGCATAATTTATAAAAACACTCTTATTACAGTGCACAGTTATCTGGGTCTTGGCCGTGTGCTCACGGAGAGATGTCTGGTTTGACAAATAACAACAAAAATGTACTCTAGAGAGATTGCCCCTCTGACAGACCCAGCTCAAGTCTTTCCCCTTTGAAATCAGTATCAGGGAACTCGTAGATGTGGGGTGTTTGGGTTTGTTTTCCTTTTCTTTCGGTGCAGAAAATGTGGCGTGTGTGTGTGTTCAATTTTTTTCCTTTAACTTCATTTTTAAATTCATTTTGAAAAGTTAGTAAGTCCAAACAATAGGGCCATGTTTCATAGTTTTATGATACACACACGAATTTTAACAAGAGCATGAATAGCTTAAAATTGTTTGGAGGAACTGAAAAAAAAAAATCAAGTAGGGAATTTATCTATAACTCCAAAGGTGAAAGGATGGGTATATCCAGGCTTTAGCGTCAGGGGGCAGACACTGGGGTAAAGGAGGACTCCGTTTCTACTTGCGTTACCACACCAGCCCCTTAGAACAGCAGTGAATGTTGTCACGTTCCTAAAATACAGGCTTTTGGCCACCATGAAGGAGATACGGCGGAAGGTACTAGCCATGCACCAGCACCTTCGGGGTCCCATTCACCACTGTGTCCGCACACGTGACCTGTGTGGGAGAAGTAGTGTGTGCGCTTGGAAGCGAAATTCCCATAAGCAGGTTTTAAGGAATGGAACCCAAGGGCCTGCTGGAGTGACAGAGGTGGTCACCAGATTCTTCCAGGGGGAGGGACTAGAAGGCTTCAGGAAGCAGAGCTGGCCAGTTTGGGATCAGTGCAGAAATTCTCCCGGCCGGCATGCCTGGCTGGCTCAGTGGGTAGAGCATGCAGCTTTTGATCTCCAGATGGTGAGTTTGATCCCCACGTTGGGTGTAGCGATTGCTTAAGTAAATAAACTTTATTTTTTTAATTTTTTTAAAAATTAAAAATCTCCCTCTGCCCCTGCTTGTGTTCCCTCTCTTGCTGTGTCTCTCTCTGTCAAATAAATAAATAAAATCTTAAAAAAAAAATAAAAATAAATAAAATTTCAGAGACGCCCTGAAGTGAACATCTTTTAGATACACATGTAAATAAAATAAAATTTCACGAGAAAAGCTAAAATATAATCTTAATCTGATGCAGATTAAAATTTAGCCTTTAGACTTGTGGCATAGAAGAGAGATTGTTAAAACTCAGCTTGTATAAAAGTGAAAGGAGGCAGAGTAATCTCTGAGGAGTCAGTAGACATAAGAAGTGGACAAAATTTTGGTATGAGAATGTCAGAACAAAGCTATGGGGAACAAGGAAAGCAGCTACAGCCGTGAAGGCACAGCAGCCATGCAAGGCTTAACTAAGACAAGCCCTACATGGCCAAGCTGCTCCACAAAGTGATGCAACCCACCCATAAAGAGAAGGAAGACTATGGCTCAGAGGCAGGGGCTCAGCTCCAGGGGAGTGGTGGTGGTGTAATTAACAGCCAGAGGGGAACTGAACAGACCTGGGTCAACAACTGAGTCTTCCAAAGAATGGCTTCTCACAATCCCCTCTGTAGGGCCAGATCCCAGGCTGAATCCCCAGTGGCTGTGCGGGACCCCTGTCCTGCAGGATGAAGGTGTAGAGAGCTAAGTATGCCTGCCCTCCAGCTCCCCTCCCAGGGCTCCTTCAGCTCCTGAAATGGTATGAAGACTACAGGTGCCAGATGTCCACCTCTTCCACGACCGCCACCAATTCTGATAGCCTCGGCGTCAAAACCATGGACATTAGCTCCAAGCTAGAGGGATCTTGTTATTTTTCTTTTGCAAGGACTTTGTTTTATTAACTCCAATTGAGGTTTTACAAGACAAGAAAAGGGAAGGGACTAATATTTATTGTACACCAGACCTGCCTGTCTGGTGATATTTTTTTCAGTAACTTTTCAAAACAACCTGTAGTAAATAAGTATTGCCATCCCCATTAACAAATGAGGAAAGTGAAGCTAAGGAGGGTAAATTAACAAGTTCAATTCCCAGAGCTAGGTAATGATACAGCCAGAATTCAAACCCACTGTGTCTTACACCAGCAGCCCTTTGAGCTTTCCACCACCTACATATCTCTCATGTAGCAGGGCTAGAGCGCTGTCCATGGTATTCTGTCTTTACACTATTCTATTCTGAACTATGTCTAAATCTGATAGCTACAAAGCCTCAAATGCCTACCAGTTGTACTGTCACCTTTGGAGAAAGGTGGGCTCAGACAGTTCCTTATGCTAATACTGCCATGCCTATTTATGCCTGGCTTTGATGATATGACAAGGGACAAGTAAATCGGTGCTTCCCAAACTTGTATATGTATATCAGCTGCAGCTCTGCCATGATGATCAAATAAGGGACAATTAGATCAGTTCTTCTCAAACATTAGCGTGCATATGAATCACTTGGGATCTTTTTAACATACAAATTCTAACTCAGTAGTTCTGGTGTGAGGTCTGAAATTCTGCATTTCTAACAAGCTTCCTGGTAAGACTAAACCATACTTTGATTAAAAGTGGTCTAAGCCAACTGAACTCTACACCTGAAACTAATGATATGCTATATGTTAATTAATTGAATTTAAATAAAATAATAAAAAAAGTGGTCTAGACCACCAGCTTATGAAGAGGATCAAAGACTCTGCCCAAAAGGACCCCCCCAACACACACACACTCCATGTTGGATGGTTCTAAACCAGCCCAATCAAGTCACAGTTCTTGATGAGTTTGAGCACCAGACATACAGATAAAAGGGTTGGTGCAGCAGAATCAGACATGGAGAGAAAATGAATCAAGACTCAAGAGGAGCAATTAGAAGAGACAGGAATGCATATCACTTTTGAGAGGTCCTAGTCCAAGTGCTAGGAGCTGAGAGAGGAAGCCATGGGGAAGAGAGTTGTGGGGGAGGGGAGTAGGAGTGGGAAGGGGGAGAAGACAGAGGATCCTGGGAGATTACTGTTAGCATAGCAACTTTCTCAAGTGCCAACACAAAGAGCATAAACAAATGGATACAATTCTTTTATAAATGTCATTGATACTTGAAAAAATTTATATTATACTTCATGTTTCAAAATACAGCTTAAAAGATTTAAGACCTTGCTGCTGTGGTAATAATAAGTGGATGTGATGCTGGTACTGTTGCTGGTTTTACATTATAAAATTTAAGATGTCATTTTATTAAAATATCTCTAAAATATTAAAAATTAAAATATTATTCAAAGAATAAACAATTTAATTGATAACGTTACCCTGGATTTTATTGTAAAGCTTCTGCTTTCTTGGCTTGACTTGTGGAGAAGAGATCTAACATTACCCTACCCAGGCATCCCAAATCCTCACCGACATTAGAGCTGGAAGCTAGTATATCACCACAAAGTGACTTTGACTATCTGTTTTCTGATTGGCTGGCCTTGTGCGTCGTTAATGCAACTATTAGAAAACATTTTCTGCAAAATGGATTTGGTGCTGAGAAAATATATGCAAATAATAATCAGGCTTAGATGAGTGAGGGGCAGGGTCATAAGAAGGGTTTGGGAGAATTTGAGCCTGAGCAGTGCATGAGTTTGCTAGGCCTGCCATAGCAAAGTACCATAGCCTGGGTGGCTTAAACAACAGAAATTTATTTCCTCACAGTTCTAAAGGCTAGAAGTCCATTATCAAGTTTTGTGCAGGGTTGATTTCTTCTGATGGCCATCTTCTCCCTATACCCCAACCCCATATGGTCTTTCCTCTGTATGTCTGTGTCCTAATGTCCTCTTCTTTTTTATAAGAAGAGGATATAAACACCAGTCATATTGGATTAGGTCCACCCTAATGACCTCATTCTACCTTAATTTCTTCTTTGAAGGCCTATCTCCCAATATTTTGAAATACTTCAACATATGGATTTTAGGGGGACACAATTCAGCCCCCAACAGACAGCTGGTAGAAGGCCCAAGTGGAGACGTCTCCAAGTGTGAGGTTTCGAGAAAAGATTTGGGCCCGGGATTAAGATGGCTGGGGAACATTAAAGACAAGGGAGTAGGCATGAGAATGTGAGAGTCAACGCTATGTGAGAGGGGAATGGGCCAAGGACAGAACCCTGAGAACACCACGTCTAGAGGGTGGCCAAAGGAAGAGAGGCCCACCCAGGAAATTGAGAAGGAGAGGAAGCCAAGAGGGAAGCCTGATGGGTGTCGGGCTGCAAAAACCAACAGGACTCAAGAAAGGGTGAAGTGAGATCA